GAAAGACCATAAAAACCCCTGTTACTCGAACCAAGCAAGGTTCCAGTATAACTGTGTTTATTCTGTTTAAATAATAACCTTGCTAAGTGAGCAGCAGTGTTAGCCTCTGAGTTTAGTAAGTAATAACCCTGTTGTTATCCTTTAGTGATGTTTGAAGACTAGCAGACCCATAGAAAGTAATCTTGAACTAGTTTTCTAACCTCTTTCTGTGTTGTCTTAAGTCATTCCTGTTACTCCCTAGTAATCACTGTCTATTCAATGCTAACTAATGCTTTAGTTAAATGTTTCATATACAATTTCTTACTAAATTATCCATGGAAACGCTCGTAGGCATCACCAGCCTCTCAGTTAAAGTGGAATGTCTACTCTTTTCTTGTGTGACCCGAGCGCCACCAAGGGGACAAGAAAGGTATAACACGCAAGTGTTTAAAACTCGGCTTACACTGACAGAATTGTTAAGTAGGCCTAACTATCACCATGTAATTGCATAAACGAAATTTTACTGTCATGCTTACATCTAAATTGTCTCATGAGTTAAAACCAGTAACCAGCAAGTATACTGAAGACATGTAATCAAGCTTTGTTACGTTTTATATAACCATTATAACCTTTTTCCATAGTGTTTAGCCTTGTTTTAACTGTCTTTATCCGAATGTTTAGAAGTAAGTATTTTTCCAAATGTCGATATTGTGGAGAGAGAGAGATCAAAGAGAAATACGCGCAACGTATATTTCTTTATCCCAAAAAGTTAACACCTTAGCGACGTTTGGGAGACCATCCCCAAAATTGACGTCACTACTTAGCGGAATCAATAAAAAGGCCTTGCTGTCTTTTGTTCTAGCTTCTTACCTCTTCAAAACTCTTCGTTTAAACTTTCTTGAAACTAAACGTATACGTTCTCTTAACTTCCTTTACTTTTGAAATTCCGATTTTCGTTTCGTACTTAAATCTCCTTCAGACGAGCTGAGAAAGCTACGACCCTGAATTCCAAATTTCTCAGCGGGAGATTTGATTTTCTTTATTCTGTTTGGAGCTGCCTGTTTAACCTCAGCAACATTAAATAGCCTATATTCCCGAGGCCTCGCGAACCTACGGTGAATGTGTGCGTTTATTTGATTTTGTTGTTGCAACCTCATCCGACCGTTGTGAGCAACTTTGGACCAGAAACTCAGAAGCCTTCATTTATGGCCTTGAATAAATGAAACCATGGCTCTGAAGACAGAACCCTGAGTGGGCCCTATAGCGACACCAAACGAACTGAGATCAGAGCAAAAGCCTTGGCTGACAGCCCGTTGCTGCAAGCGCTTCCCACAGAGGACTCCGGACCCAATCCACCGGTTTCAACCCAACTCGAAAACGCCACTGGGGTCGGGCCAGAACCGACTTCCCGAGCCAACCGGCAGTCGAGCCTCGCCACGGGACCTGCGGCAACGGTAGGCCAAAACAAACAACACTCTTTGGTTGGTCGTTGGTGTTCTATGGGCTCCATCCACAGTTAATAACCCTTAGATTAGACAAATTAAATCTGCAATCCAATTTCGGTCATTTGTTCCCTCATACTCGTAGAATTCTCTCCCTCTACAATAAACTGAAACTCCATCGAACCTTACATAGGCTACCCTGTTTAGTACCTCCTTGTTGTCATATTAACTGTTATCCCTGTAATATCACCACATTTACCCACTATTGTACTCTTTTTGTTAGTTAATAAATTCACTTTGAGCACAGCGATGTATGTGTGTGTGTATTCAGAATCTAGAGTCCCTATACACAGAACTTACGCTCAGATCTGAGACTGACTGATTGACCTTAACTAATGAATTAACCAAACTCTGTATAATTCTCAGGCTATACTCAAGGACCTAAAGCCTTGGGCGGACAAGCAAATCTTTAGGTGGTGCTCCTAATTTCGAGGTATAAATTGATATTCCCAGAAATATTAATTTTCATAACTGTATTAAAATTAGTATTCCCGGAAATATTAATTTTCATAACTGTATTAAAATTTTACGTAGCCGAGGTCTGCTACAACATCCATTTAAACACTGACTGGCAGAATTTCAGTCTTAGTATCATTGGACCTCAGTGCTGTATTCGACATTGCGGTTCAATCCAAGGCTTCTCCAGGCTGCATGTCGAATTATCCTTGGGAAAGATACTGAATTGCCCCTGGTGGCTGTTGGCAGATGTACTGTAAAAGCGCTTTTACGCTTTGCACTATACGGACCATTACTCTCCCGGAATGTTCATTCAAGGCTGAGAGAGGATCTCTGTTCCCCAAAACATAGAAACCTAGACTGTGTAAATGATTATGCATCCCTTTGCTCGGGGCCAGATGCCTGAAGCTACCCTAGGCGGCAGGTCTCTGGAACAGCTGTATATGTGTTTTAGTACTCTTTATTCTCTTTTGTTAATAAATTCTTCAAAGACAACAGTTTTCAATTATTTGCGCAACCCCTCACTAGCAAGATACAATTTCCACAACAAAGAGCAGGTCAGCATATACACATTTAGATGCTTCACAACCTAACCAGTCCAGCAGGGGGCGGGCTGAGGCAGAGACACCGAAGAAGAGTGGAAACTCAATAGGTGCGTTTGACTTCATGTGGCGCTGAACAGCGCTGAGAGAGAGAGAGAGAGAGAGAGAGAGAGAGAGATCATTGCTTAGTAACGCGCAAACACACACACACAGCAGTCCACTACTTGCCCCAGATGTCTGTGATATTGCAACAGGGTGTAGGCCGACTCACACTAGGCAATCCGTTAAGTTACAATCGCCTGAAAAATGCCATCAGTGACATTCCGCCCTTTATGGTAGTATTAAAGTGTTATTATTTTACACACTGCTGGGCGCCGGCACACAGTAGCAAGCATATTATCATTTGTAGCACTGTACTAATTGGAGGATGCATCAAAAAGCCAATAATACTAAACAAATAAGCTGCAGTCAATACAGAGTAATACAGTAGGCTACAACACAACTGAGTTCATTTTCACGGGTCGCGGCCTCAACCTGTTTGGTTAAAACTGTGCGCACAATAGTGGCTGATGGTGGAGAAGTGCAGCCATCCTGTCAGTCATGCGATGCACAGCGGAATTCATTAGGAAAGTGTGTTCATTTAAGTCTGTTTATCTTGTTTAATGTAAATAATAGTAGATACTAATTACAATGAAAAATACATTACTTGTGATTCAAAATAATGGTTGTTGATAAATGAATTAGAGACCCCCACAGATGCATGACTTTACTGCTTCCATGGGAGCTCAGACGCTCCTTATGGAGCTGAGCTCCCACTGGCTCCCACGGAACTTGAACCCTGCCAATAACCCAATAGTATTAACTATATTCTGCTCACATTACAACAGTTGTCTATGACAGCCTTGTTTTGTTGGCCTTGGCCATTTTGTTTGTTATGTACAGATTTTCTTTGTTGTAGCTTTGTTGTGTCAGCTACTAGCAGTTGGTAAGGGTGAGCAGCTCTTTTTGTTTGCACCCTTTTTCCCCCTGTTTTTGATAGAAGCCTACACTCACCTAAAGGATTATTAGGAACACCATACTAATACTGTGTTTGACCCCCTTTCGCCTTCAGAACTGCCTTAATTCTACGTGGCATTGATTCAACAAGGTGCTGAAAGCATTCTTTAGAAATGTTGGCCCATATTGATAGGATAGCATCTTGCAGTTGATGGAGATTTGTGGGATGCACATCCAGGGCACGAAGCTCCCGTTCCACCACATCCCAAAGATGCTCTATTGAGTTGAGATCTGGTGACTGTGGGGGCCATTTTAGTACAATGAACTCATTGTCATGTTCAAGAAACCAAGTTGAAATGATTCGAGCTTTGTGACATGGTGCGTTATCCTGCTGGAAGTAGCCATCAGAGGATGGGTACATTGTGGCCATAAAGGGATGGACATGGTCAGAAACAATGCTCAGGTAGGCCGTGGCATTTAAACGATGCCCAATTGGCACTAAGGGGCCTGAAGTGTGCCAAGAAAACATCCCCCACACCATTACACCACCACCAATGTGACCTGTAGCATCAACAAGGCATTTTCGCCCACAGGACTGCCGCATACTGGATATTTTTCCCTTGTCACACCATTCTTTGTAAACCCCAGAAATGGTTATGCGTGAAAATCCCAGTAACTGAGCAGATTGTGAAATACTCAGACCGGCCCGTCTGGCACCAACAACCATGCCACACTCAAAATTGCTTAAATCACCTTTCTTTCCCATTCTGACATTCAGTTTGGAGTTCAGGAGATTGTCTTGACCAGGACCACACCCCTAAATGCACTGAAGCAACTGCCATGTGATTGGTTGATTAGATAATTGCATTAATGAGAAATTGAACAGGTGTTCCTAATAATCCTTTAGGTGAGTGTAGTTTAGAGCTTTGTCTTTTTTTACTTTTTGTTTTTGGTTTAGGCGAGTTTCAGGTTTCTCAGACTGTTTTGGTTGTTGTTTTGGGTACTGCTCATCTCTGAAGATAATAAAACTTTCCTTTGTGTCTGGCCTTGCTTGGGAATGGGAAGAGTGGGAAGCCACACATTTATGTTGCGTCCAGGATAGCCCTAGACCCTATGATGTAACACTAACAAATAAAGTGTAAAAACAATGGATCACAGAAAATGTTGGAGTGCCAGAATTTTCAGTGTTTTAAAAAAACCTGATATTAAATCTCATCCAAACATTTCAGCTAAATCAGTTTCTGAAACTAAAATGGCAACCTCATGGAGCTGCTAGAAGAAAGTCAATGAAGTTAGTAGGATTCATTCTATTGGAACTATGAATATCTAGACAACATGTCATGGCAATCAATCCAATATTTGTTGAGATACAGTGATCTAGACCAAAGTGGTGACTGAATAAGTGCTCAACCGAAAAAATGATCATAGTGACCCCCCTAGTGTGGCTAAGAAAACATTTGGTTTTCTGGTTGAATCAACACTGTCATTGTTCACTGTCACTGGAAATATTTTGATGAGAATCTGATATGGAAATCAAAACAGATGAATATTTATTTATTAAGTAAAATTAATTGCAATACATATAGTGCCAGGCACTCTTGAGAAGCACCTGCTAGATTCCCTGCTCTCTAGCTAAACAATCCACAACTCTACTTCACATAGACAGCTTTCTAAAAATTCCTCAACATCATTCACGGTAAAAAAACAACAACAAAAAAAACATGTCTAGGAATAAAAGATCATTCCAACATGGCTTCCCAATATCTCTGTGCTTTCCAACTTCCTCTCAGCTCTTCTCTGTCAGTGTAGGCGACTTTTTATCCAGGATACTTGCCAGTGTTTTGAATGGCTGCTCCCATTCACCAAGGGAGCTAAAATCCCCTGAATTGTCAATTACCCATGACTCTTCTATGGAGCTTAGTGAGCCAGTCACTGAGCCATCACCCTCGTAGGTGTAGGTCGCCAGTGAGTCATAGGGCAGGGTGGTGTAACCCTGCTGATTCTCCTCTAGCCGCTGTTCGATGAACTCCCTGATCATTTCAGCATTTCCCTCAGTCATTTTGCCATGAGAAGAGAGTGGGGTCTTGTTGTTCATGGCAGTGATCACCATGGCTGTTTGATGATGGATGTCACGTGACCTGATGTCGTCACATCGACTGCTGAGATGCAGCAGAACCCCGTCTCCGTAGCCATTTTTTTCTTTCTTGGAGGTGCTTCTGTGACTGCTGGTGCACTGGGAGTGTGTGCTGCGCAGAGTGCCTAAATCAAAGGCGTGGGTGTCCGCCTCACCACCGCCCTCATCGTCATAATGAATGACATTATCACGGATGTCCTCTTTTGATGTCATTAGGGTCTCTTTCTCTTTGTGGCGCTTCTGGCCAATGTATAATGTAGCCATAACTGCAAGACACAATAAGAATAAAATGATGGGTTAGTTTAAAATATTTTTACATGTCTGTTACTCTTTATCACGGATTTTTTACTAATATCTATTGTTGCTGCGATGGATTGGCGACCTGTCCAGGGTGTACCCCGCCTTTCACCCAATGTCAGCTGGGACCCAGTATGCAGGATAAGTGGTTGACCATGGATGTACGGATGGATAGTATCTATTGTTACTCGTAGGTCTCTCACTTTACTGATGCTTGAATGATGTTCCTCAAATGTAAGTGAGAAATTTGTCCTGCCTTTGTCACTGTTTGGCATTTATCTGAACCCAAACCTAAACAATTCTACAATTCTAGTATATCTTAATAAAATGCTCACTTATTTATGTTGAAAGAATTAAATACAAAATTCACAATCATCTAGAGAGGTGAAAAGTGACTGTGAAGTCATTAGAGAGAAGTATCAAATACATTCCATCAAACTCATTTTTGACAGCTATTTCCGGTCCCGCCCCCACACCGGATGTCTGTATGTAACTGATAAGAGGGGTGTATCCGGTCCCGCCCCAACCGGAAATATGGCTGTATGTAACTGAAAAGAGGGGGTTCATCCTGTCCCACCCCAGCCGGAAATATGTCTGTATGTAACTGATAAGAGGGTTGCGTACATCCTTCCATTGTGTGTTTTTCATTGATTTAAAGACTTTATTAAGTAATACAACTTGAATGAATTAACTAGGAGGTGTTTGTGACAATAAATTTATCATTAAAAAAGTATAGCAGTGAGTTATAAGTAAAAGGAGGAATCTCCGGGGCCAGCAAAGGATCAGTAGGAGGTTTCTTTGGAATCAAGTCAGTCTTTATTATTAAACAAGTGAAGAATAAATTGAAATAATGACAGCAAAGCAGTAAAATGGTATAACGGTGAGTAAAAATTACCTTCAACAGCATGCAGCAAAATAAGAGTGAGTTCCAAAATTAAACTTTGTAAAATCTTTGCTAAAGCTTTGTGTGACAAACTTACCATCATTAAAGAACTAAAGAATAAGATGAAATAATTACAGTAAAATAGTATAACAGTGAGTTAAAATTAAACAGCATTTTTTAATTACCTTCAAAATCTTTGCTAAAGCTTTGTGTGACAAACTTACCATCATTAAAGAACTAAAGAATAAGATGAAATAATTACAGTAAAATAGTATAACAGTGAGTTAAAATTAAACAGCATTTTTTAATTACCTTCAAAATCTTTGCTAAAGCTTTGTGTGACAAACTTACCATCAGTAAACAAGTGAAGAATAAATTGAAATAATGACAGTAAAGCAGTAAAATGGTATAACGGTGAGTAAAAATTAAACAGCATTACAAATTACCTTCAACAGCATGCAGCAAAATAAGAGAGTGTTCCACATTACTTTGCTATTGCTTTGTCTTACAAACTTGCCATCATTATCACTCCAAAGCTGTAGCCTAGAGTTTCCATTTAAATTACCTTCAACAGCATGCAGCAAAATAAGAGTTAATATAAGAGAGTTCCAAAATTAAACTTTGTAAAATCTTTGCTAGTGCTTTGTCTTACAAACTTGCCATCATTATCACTCAAAAGCTGTAGCCTAGTCTTAAACTTGTGAGTCTTAAAACTTTAATCCTTCTAGAGTCTGTGTCTCCTCTTCTCTGTCCTCTCTCTTTCTGGTGTAGCATAGGCTGTGGGGTGAATTGAGGAATGTGCTCCACCCCCGGACCTCCTTCCATCCCTCCCCTCCCTCTGTTTTCTCAATGAGCCACATCAAGTTGTGTGTTTTAACTGTCATTAGCATCTTCAGGTAATCTTGTAGACCAGTTATGGAATAGAGTTATCTATAACCCCAGACTCCGGTTGTTAAAAACGGTCCAAATGTAATGAAAATTATGAGTTAACCCTAGAGTTTGGGTTATCGATGGCAATCTGTTTTCCTCTTTTGTAGTGTCTCTGAAAAAATGCTATGGAAGGGGACACTAGAAAAAAAAATAGAAACAGCATGGTCTCAAAAAAGAGGTCGCAGCAGTGATGAGACTTTTTACTAAAACCTTATTGTCAAGGGCAAACTAGCCACTATGGCTGAATGCAAGACCTGCAATGAAACAGTGTAAGACTGCTGAACATCCTGTTCTGGCTAGTCAAGAACCCCGTGGTAAATCTGGGCATTACATAAAAAATAAAAAGCCATATGATAGATATTGTTACAGACTTTTGTTGTTGAAGCTGCTGGTTCCTGTTGAGCTTTGGAACGTGCAATAAGTGTTATTAGCACAGATCACGGTTGAGCCGAAATAAAGAAGCTTATTTTTATTCTTTTACCTGTAGGAGATTTATTATAATCTTCTGTTTTATTTTCATCAACAGAAAACTACTGTCCTGTTATGTCAACAAAGTAGCTAACTAGCATTTGAATACTTCATCCCCAAGGGAAGGGTTCTGGATTTCATGACCTCTGTAATAGTCTAACCCTAATTAGCAAAAGGCAGCTGGATCAAACTTTAGCTCTTGAAGTTTCCAGTTGATGAAGTTGTAAACTATATATTTTTTTTATAATTCTAGCTTTTTTTACTAAAGGGAAAGAGAAGGCCTATTAGCATGACTAGTGACTTAGTTATGAGTAAGGCTTTAGTTTAGAATGAGGGACATTGTCTATATGTTACTGAAAGACTACATTTAGAGTTATTTGGACGCTGTTAACACTTGTAGTTTTTTTTTTGCTACATAAGAATTGTCCTTATTTTGTAAGTGTAACTAAAAATTAAATATTTAGTTTAGATTACAATATTCTCTTAATAGAAATACCCCATTCTTTTATTCATCCATGCTGGAGTGTCACTCCATGCTAGCTAGGAAGGAACTAAGAGGGAACTCCGTGTCATTACATGCCAGCCAACAATGGACGTTTCTGTAATGCAGTCAATAAATAAAATGCAATCCTATAAAATTTAGATTGAAGAAACAAGTACATTGCAAAATTGATAGAAATCTTGTCTATAACTGGTCAATTTCATTTCACAATATTTGGGGACAGAATTATACCAAAGGTTTAGTAAAAGTTGATAAACCTGTTTTAGTGATTACTTAAAAAATAGGATCATGCTGCTGAGCATTTTAGTCCTAATTTATAATTATGAAGAGCAAATACAAAATAAGATAAAGATGAAGGCCCTTTAAAAAGGCCTACTTCACCAAATGACCAAGCACCACAGACAAACCTGAAGAGAAAGTTTAAATGACTGCACTAGTGTAATAAGACATTTTATATAATTGAACCCTGGATAAAGTACCTTTTGCTGCTAATACTGCAATCCTTGATATTTGTGCATGCATCCAAGTTATTTCTGAATAACAGGTAAAACTGTAAATTCTCAATAAAGTGGCCCTGAATATTTTTGTATCACAGAGAAATGTTTAAATATTACTAACACTGATGTTAAAATTTCCATTTTTGAAAGAAACAAGAAGTCTTTAAGAGATACAAACACTCATTAGCTGAAAAAAATTAACCGCATGGAGGTCCCCTCTTTGGTAGGTAGATACTGCTCAAGGATCCAAGTGCCCTCTTGGCAATTTCTTGAAGACAATGTTCTGGTTTTATTTTCACAGACTCCCATCATTGGCCTATGGTAACCCCTCCTAGTCTCTTATCATTGGCTCACGGCTAACTCTGCCCACCCTCTTATTTTGTATGTGACAGCATGTGGGAAATAACTGGTGAGGGGTTGGGGGCCGTTACTTCTGGTACAACCAGATTATTAGATAGTCTGCAGTTCCAAACTCTTGTCTCCGGCTGATAAAAATAGGTTCCTGTTTCGAAAACGAACTCTGTCTGATAAACCCAGACCGTTTTTAACAACCGGAGTCTGGGGTTATAGATAACTCTATTCCATAACTGGTCTACAAGATTACCTGAAGATGCTAATGACAGTTAAAACACACAACTTGATGTGGCTCATTGAGAAAACAGAGGGAGGGAGGGATGGAAGGAGGTCCGGGGGTGGAGCACATTCCTCAATTCACCCCACAGCCTATGCTACACCAGAAAGAGAGAGGACAGAGAAGAGGAGACACAGACTCTAGAAGGATTAAAGTTTTAAGACTCACAAGTTTAAGACTAGGCTACAGCTTTTGAGTGATAATGATGGCAAGTTTGTAAGACAAAGCACTAGCAAAGATTTTACAAAGTTTAATTTTGGAACTCTCTTATATTAACTCTTATTTTGCTGCATGCTGTTGAAGGTAATTTAAATGGAAACTCTAGGCTACAGCTTTGGAGTGATAATGATGGCAAGTTTGTAAGACAAAGCAATAGCAAAGTAATTTGGAACACTCTCTTATTTTGCTGCATGCTGTTGAAGGTAATTTGTAATGCTGTTTAATTTTTACTCACCGTTATACCATTTTACTGCTTTACTGTCATTATTTCAATTTATTCTTCACTTGTTTACTGATGGTAAGTTTGTCACACAAAGCTTTAGCAAAGATTTTGAAGGTAATTAAAAAATGCTGTTTAATTTTAACTCACTGTTATACTATTTTACTGTAATTATTTCATCTTATTCTTTAGTTCTTTAATGATGGTAAGTTTGTCACACAAAGCTTTAGCAAAGATTTTGAAGGTAATTAAAAAATGCTGTTTAATTTTAACTCACTGTTATACTATTTTACTGTAATTATTTCATCTTATTCTTTAGTTCTTTAATGATGGTAAGTTTGTCACACAAAGCTTTAGCAAAGATTTTACAAAGTTTAATTTTGGAACTCACTCTTATTTTGCTGCATGCTGTTGAAGGTAATTTTTACTCACCGTTATACCATTTTACTGCTTTGCTGTCATTATTTCAATTTATTCTTCACTTGTTTAATAATAAAGACTGACTTGATTCCAAAGAAACCTCCTACTGATCCTTTGCTGGCCCCGGAGATTCCTCCTTTTACTTATAACTCACTGCTATACTTTTTTAATGATAAATTTATTGTCACAAACACCTCCTAGTTAATTCATTCAAGTTGTATTACTTAATAAAGTCTTTAAATCAATGAAAAACACACAATGGAAGGATGTACGCAACCCTCTTATCAGTTACATACAGACATATTTCCGGCTGGGGTGGGACAGGATGAACCCCCTCTTTTCAGTTACATACAGCCATATTTCCGGTTGGGGCGGGACCGGATACACCCCTCTTATCAGTTACATACAGACATCCGGTGTGGGGGCGGGACCGGAAATAGCTGTCAAAAATGAGTTTGATGGAATGTATTTGATACTTCTCTCTGTCATTGTCTCAAAGATTACGAATTCAAACAGTGCTGCTTGGCACATGCTTTATTAGAGAATTTTGTAGTTTGTCTATTTACGCAATGTTTGCTAAAGAGCATGCTACTTGTTAGCTTTACAATCAGGATAAAAACCCTAGCGATGTCACACAATTTTTCACTTCCAGTGGGTGTCCATTATTAGGGTGTCAAAATCCACAGTGATCGTGTATGTGCCAAACAGCTCTGTTTGTATCTGTAATCCTGGAGACAAGTGATATACAGAAGGGGGACCATACCAGAAACTACAATAATAATCTCCTCCTCTGACATATATCCACACTTTCTTTCCTCTTTGATAAAGCTTATAGTTAGGGCTGGCTCAGGTGAGTCCTGAACCATCCCTTAGTTATGCTGCTATAGGCCTAGACTGCCAGGGGGCTTCCCATGATGCACTGAGCTCCTCTCTCCTCTTCTTTCTCTCCCTCTGTATGCAACCTCATCCCATTATTGCATGTTACTAACTCAACTTCTTCCCTTTCCCGTAGTTTTGTGCTTTCTCGTCCCTCTCCTCTCTCCTCCTATCACTATTCACTATCACTATTATTAGGGCCCGAGCACGACTGTGCGAGGTCCCTATTGAAATATATATATATTTTTTTTTTCTCTGCAAAGTAGGCTCAACTGACATGGCCTAAACATACTCGAAAACTCACCAAAATTTGCAAACATGTCAGAACCGGTGAAAAATTTCGTATTCTACAAATTTCGCACATGGGCGTGGCAAAATGACTCGCTAGCGCCACCTAGAAAATTGGAAAAGATTAGCCCCTCGTTCACGTTCAACCTACATGTACGAAATTTTCTGGGGACATGTATCATATCAAGACGCACAAAAAAGCCTCAAGAACCCATATGATGATGATGATTTACACACTTCGTACTTTAACGAACTCCTCCTAGGGATTTAGTCCGACCAACCTCAAATTTCTGCTGTGCCTTCTAAAGGCATTGAAGATGAAAAGTTGTGCTATTTGCGAGTTTTCGTCAATGGGTGTGTCCGTGGCGTGGCGTCAGAGATCAAGTCTTCGCCATGACACAGGAAGTTGTTGTAACTTACGTGTACATGCTCACATCTGAACCAAACTTTACGTGCTTGATAACTCTCCCACCCCGCAGACATCTACACACCAATACCGATTTATATTCATAGCGGCAAGTGCTATGTAGCTCCACATAGGTGACACAGGAAGTGACATATAACACCTTCATGCAGTGTCGGAACCGCGTAGCAAATTCACAGCCGCACTGGCAGAGCTCCAGAATATGCAACTCGGCCGGCTCACACCCGGACACGCTACAAGTGCGAGGGCTCACCCAACGCTGCTTGCAGCTTTAATTTATGTGTGTGTTTTAATATTTTTGTCTGTTTTATTCTTCCTTTGTATTTTTTTTACTTATTTATTTTCACCCATGGTATTTATTTCTGCCTGTCCTTTTTACATTTCTGTATGCATTTCTGCCTCATTATGCAAATGAGGAGGGGCTGTGTCTCAAGGGGTCAACTTCTGCCCATTGGTGGACCAGTCAGACGGGAGAGCTCTAGACCTTCTCTGCTTGCACACATCAACAAGCTGCTCTTCACACATTCAGATGGCTTCCTTCAGTGCACTGAGGTGTTTAGCAACTCTGTTTGAAGACACTACCAGCCATGTCTTCCTTCTCTTTTCATGTGGACACTCTGACCTACAGAGTTTTCAATTAGCGACTTATACGTACACAGAACTGCAGGAAAGTGAGCTGGATTGTTTCTGAGAGCCACATCTAAATCTGGAGTGCACTCCTATTCGAGTATTTACGGTAAATGCTCCCACACGGAGCAGCTCCTTGCTCTGCTGTTTTCAGCAGCTGTTTCAACAAAAACGCTATTCAGAACATAACCATATTCTTCAGAGGAAAAGAAGAAGGAGGAGAAGGAGAGCAACAAATAACCCCCAAACAATAAAATAAATTCCTTTTATATTTCCCTGCCTTGTTGTTTATGTGTACATACAGAGGAAGAATGAGAGAACAGCACACATTTCATCGTTACTGTGTGTTAGAGCATGGGAGAACAGTGGATACTTTTAATACAGCCCACACCCCTAATACTGTGTAACTATAACAAGTAGAGAACAGAAGAAAAAGATGTTCTTTCTTTACAACTGTCTGCATAGCTTATTCATATTGTGTAATGAATGAAAATAAATAGGCCTACTAGGCTCCTCTCTACTTTGACATTTAAGATTAGCTTGTTTGATCCACCTTCATACACATGTGACATTACTGTACAACTTGAGAAAGGTGAGTTGTTTTCTGCTCCAGCCTGCCTAAAAGAAAAGCTGTGTAAGTAAAATATATATAATCTTTACAAATTCAATAGGGACCTGGCACGGTTGTGCTCGGGCCCTAAAAATATAATCTTTACAAATTCAATAGGGACCTGTTTTTGAAAAGGAATACAAAATATGTTGTGCAGTTTAATTGTTAATATGCGACTTCCTGTGTTTTGTCCGTATGCAACCTTTAGTAGTCTTTCCTACAGTTTTATAAATGAGACCCCTGGATAGACCAAATTAATGTAATGGTCCCACATGGTTTAAATATCTTGTTAAGATAGATAAATAGAGATAGCAGGGGGATGAAATGCAGCATAGGGAAGGCTGGAATAGAACCCAGTCCACTGCTGCAAGGACTTAGCCTTAGTACATGGAAGTGCATTCACTAACAGTAAGAAATCCCAGCTCTAATGGAACGTTAAACCATAAAGCATAAGAGACACATGTATAAATGCGTGTCCCAGCATTCACGGGATTCATGTCAAAACATCAGCTTATTGACTGTAAACAAATCGAAAAACTACATGAGGTGGTTCTTTTGCTGTTTTTAATCCTCTGTAGAGTTGTTTTTTTTCTGATGTTGTTTCTGTAGCAACAGCATTATAATAGCTAATTATAAAACAAATACTAATATGTCTCAACAAAGTCTGAGACTGAACCTGGGGTAGCCAAAACTTGTCAGTATGATAAAATGTGCTGGGATTAATGCCATGACCAGTGTTTGTATATATCGCTCTGTATTTTGTGACAGAAGAAAGATTAGCTTACCAATCAGCAGAGCTACACATAACAGAATAGCCATCAGAGCTCCAGTACTGAGGCCCACAGGCAGGAACATGGCCTCAGCTGAGCAGGTAAGCAGCAATCCTTGTGCCTCACAGGAACACACTCGGATAGTGAGGGTGGCTGTGCTGCTCTGGGCAGGGTAACCACTGTCTTCAAGCAAAATAGGAAGAAAATAGACGTCCTGCACCCGCTGCTGGAAGCCTGAGCGTCGAGTCACAACGCCAGCCGTGTTGTCTGGAAACCGACAGAGGATAATCACTGACAATGTTCCAGATAGTATTTTTCACTGTCTTGTTGGTGTCACATTTCTTCTTTGAGTTTCAATGGTGGTTGGCAAACCAGCTTATATATGCATTACCGCCACCTACTGGCCTGGAGTGAGGAGCTGTAGATTGGCAGAAAAAGTTAAAGAATAAGTTCTCTATTATTCCTTTTACTCTTTAAGTGGCCATATTATGGGATTTTCTCTTTAGTGTGTTATATAGCTTTTAGTGCATGTAAAAGTTCTGCAAACTTACAAAGCACAAAGACCACACCTGAGGGAGATCCTGTCAGATACCACTCCTCCTGTCCTGGCAGAATTGCTTTGTTTGGATTTCAGCCTTTTCTTCCATTACTTACTTACAGTACGTCACTATGTGCTGTCTGAACAATAAATGCGATGATGTGTTGAGAAGAAATCCGCTTGACACTGTTCTTGATCATAAAAGTTTATTACATCAAGGAATTCAGCATCAATTACAAGCTCTGCAGCAGCTTGGAGAGTGACCCAGCCCGATAACCACTCTGTCTCTCTGTACATCAAACACAGCTTATATAGAACATGTTTAGGTATCTGCTAAATACCATATAAGGGTCCAGTCCCTTCATAAACACTAATCTCTACTCCCCCTATCACTGGGTCACAGGTCAAATTCCATAGGAGGGTTCACTCTTTACACCCCATCAATCATTACACACCACAACTACATAACACATTCTAACACATTTGCATTTTGCCTTCCATGGTCACCATAGCTACAGCCATACATGTGCAGAGGGGGATGCGCTGGGTGCTTGAGCACCTGCCCTTTTGCCCTTTGATGCCCAAAGAGCCCTTTTGTCAATGCAAAATAGGCTATCCTTTATTTAATTTTAAATTTGCAAAGGCCCTTTTGTGAAGGCCTGCCTAATCTAACTATTAGTAAAATGAATGAAAAATAATTTCGTAGTAAGTAAAATGACCCATATTATAACCTTTCACCTGATGACCTCATCCATGATGAGCCTGTTCAGACACCATTAGTGATTCAGCAGCACTACAGGCCACCTTTGATTCTTTTCACTTGAACTAGGATTATTACAGTAATTAATTATAACAACAGGCTTATACTAATACTTATTCCCCCAAATTATAGCCTACTTATCAGCCCTTTTTTAAATGATCATTTAATTCAGAACAATATTGCATTTTAACAGCAACAGTAGTGTTTACAACAGCAAAACTACCATAAAAACTCAATAACTGGAAATACATTTAAAAACATCAGTGTCAATGTAAAATAAATAATATTCCTGACATAAAAGTAAAGAGAAATGAAAAGAAAAGAAGAAAAAAAGAAAAGAAATGGCCCTAGTAGATTTTAGAAAAAGGAATTAAATGTTGTGAAAGATTATGTTTATTAGGGGCCAACAGAATGAACACACACACACATCTTAGTGTCATAATGTGAGAACTTTTGGAATCAAAGGCAGACTTGGAACAGCTCAAAGGGGTATCAAAGGATTTTATTGAGATGTGCAACAGAAGGCTGGGAGATATGTTTCAACAAGGCACCTCTACCTGCAGCAGTCGGTGTGCAGCAGTCTCTGTGAGCATCTCCCTCATATTTTCTCATAGCAGTCTGCCTTTGTAGCGGCTGTAGCACTACAGCAGGTCAGTCAGTGTAAGCCAGTCCTAAACACTTAACAGACTTTACATCTTGTCATGGTCAGATAATTGTTTAATCAGCTAATATACATCCTATGTTTGTTTTAATATCTAGTCACAGATCACCTCCAGTAGTATCAGCAGCAACCAAAGCAGCAGCAGCAGCAACATCCCCAGCAACCCCTCAACAGCAACTGTTGGATTTGGGTATTCCCTGTGTTTCTTTTTCAAAACTGTATCACAGCATTTGATGTAACGATACAGAAGCTTCCGTATATGCATATAAGCAAGAAATAAATAACAATATATTTCTGTATCAATATTTTGGCAGCCCTAATTAAATCCTTGTTCCATGTGCTCCTTTTATACTTTGAGCACCTGCCCTTCCAAAGGTCTCTGCAAGGCATTGAATAGACCAGTGTTACCAGCTGTTTAGAATCCCTTTATCTAAGAGGCATGGCTTTTCCTACACACGCTCTAAGCAGTTGACTAGTCACAACAGAATGGGGTTAGAACAATCAGAGCAGACTGGGCTTTTTCGGGAGCGTTTCAGACAGTAGGTAATGCAGAAATGTACATGTGAGAAAAAGTATGCGTTTTTGAACACTGAAGCATGTAAACCTATTCTAGGACCCCCAGAATAGGGGAAGAAGAGTGAGGGGTGGAAGGATGAGGGGAGAAATCAGGACAAGGGGGATGGAGGAGGATGGGAATACACGTGGGCACCTCTCCTTAGGTGTCAGATGTCAATTCCCCTAGCTTTTTGTTGCACTTACTAGAGCCCAGCTGGCAAATTGTTTTTAAAGCAAAGCAGCCTGAAAGTTGAATCTTGCGGACTGACTAATGCTACACAGTGTTTGTGGGCACCCGAGTGGCCGAAGTTCTGGAGGTAACAGAACCACATTCATGGCGGTATATTGATTCAGCAAGGAATCCCGCTGGTGACATTAGAACGAGCAAGACATTAAGGGGTCTTGCTGAGCCAAACAGATGGTAGTAGGGACTCACTTTCCTTCTCCATGGGCCAGAAAATTGGCTGGTTAACAACAAGATACAGCATGAGAGCTTCCCTAATGAGCTGAAGCTTCTTAAGGCAGGAAAGCTCATCCCCACCAACAGTAGACTATGTGCTTGTGTCAAGAACTGGACAAGTTAGGAGAAGTCATCACAGAGGTGGGAGACATTCTGCATAGTTAGGTCTGACCGCAATGCATCCCATAGTCCTGGATCCAGATCACTCCAAGGTGCTTAAAAGATTATGACACTTATGTCCTCCTGGGTCAGAGATTATTTTCAGATATCCAACAATCAAATGCCTAACTGTCGTGGGTTGGTCTCTCTCCCCTCTTTTCCTCTTGTTCTCAGTTTCCTCGCCCCTGTTGTTTCTGTCAGTCATGTGTGTCTTGTCCCATGTCTGTGTGGTTGGGCGTGTCCGAGCCTGACCTCTCTCCACCTGCAGCACTCCGCACCTGGGACTCATCAACTCATCAACGCCTGCAGTCTTAAGCTCTGGTTCAGTCTCCACTCGTCGCCTGTTTGTCCATTTACCCACAGTGGTATATCGCTCCGGCCTATTTCCTAGTTTGCCAAAATACCTTTTGTGATCTTGCCTAACCTCTTGTTTCCTGTCTGCCACAGTTTCACCCTGGTGCGGAGTCGCTGCCTGCCTGCCTGAACTCTGGATTGCCAGCCCGTTGCTCTCAGCCTGCCTGTACTCAAGATCACCAGTCCATTGCTCACTGCCTGCCAGTCCGCCTGCCCATCTCTGTGCTCTTAAAATAAAGTCCTGCCTGTGTGCCTGCCAACTTCCGCTCACGAGTCCTTTCTGTGATCCCTAACACCTAACTACTAGAACTAGGCATCTAGACATCCTGACATCACACAGTGACATTGATTCACACCTGCTTGGAAAATCTCTGACCAGGGGGCTAACTTTGATGCCAAGCAAAGGATTGCATTTCAGTTTAATCCTTCAGGTATCCTCCACTTTGAGAGAGAGATATCCACACTGTTAAAACAGTGGTCAACACCATGTTTGGAGCCGAACGTTAGCTTTTTGGACGTGTTACCAAGGACACCCAAGAGCAGATGGACACATCAGCACTGGGTTGTACCTGTGTGTAATTTCTAACTTAAGTTGGTAATTTCTAACTTAAGTTGGAGTTTACGTGCTACTAACGTTTTAAGGGTTGCACTAGCTGAAATACGTCCAACGCAGACATAAGTTACAACTTAAATCTTACACCTAGCCCTTAATAGGTGTAAAGTCCTCCATAAAGTAGTCGAGCGGTTGACGCATCATTTGAAAGGTGGGATAACTTGGATGAGGAGGAGCAAATTATGTCGGCTGTTTTGCATCGGCAACGTGTTCTCTCTCCATGATTACACCCCTTGGACATTTATGATGATATTGATTTGTACTCACGCTTTCGTTTTCCATGCACGGAGATACTGAGGATTACCGACCTGCTGGCAGTTGACTTGCAACACTACAGACAGAAACGGTCCCCTCAGTCCTTCCCTACAAGTGTGTCTATATTTTGCTACAGGATCATTTCAAAACTTGGTTGGTGATTCAATTCAAGTGCATAAATCTACTGTGTGTAGAACAATGAGAGCAGTTGCACTATAATTATGTCAGTGCTTTAATGACTATGTTAAGTTTCCAACTCAGCCCGAGCAACAAAATATGACCCGTCGGAAGCTCTACCAGATGGCCGGTTTCCCCGACATACTTGGCTGCATAGATGGCACGCACATCAGAATCAAGGGACCCAAAATCAATGAGAATGACTTTGTAAACAGAAAGGGATACCACTCAATCAATGCTCAGATCGTATGTGATGCCGACCTTGTTATTACCAATGCTGTAATCAAATGGCCTGGGGCAAAGCATGACAGCTTCATCCTCAAGCAGTCTAGCCTTTGGAGAGACTTTGAGGCAGCAAGTTACCCCGGGAGGTTGCTTGGTGACTCAGGGTATCCACTGAGAAAATGGCTCATGACCCCATAGCTAAACCCAGCAAGTGTCAGTGAGCAGTGCTACAATTCAGCACACACTAAGACCAGAAATGCGGTGGAGCAGTGCATAGGTGTTCTGAAGAACCGATGGGCCTGTTTGCAAAGAGGTAGGCCTGTCCAATTCTATTTTATTCAAGTTAGAATCTATGGCCCCGACCATGCCTCTTAAATATCAGAGTACAGCACAGCATACAAGCACTGTAACGTTAACCTAACTGTGCTGTGTATTGATAAACCCATGGCGCTGTCCCTGCTGCTGAAGTAGAGGACAGAATTGTGATTGTGACTTTTTCTTTGAGTCCCG